TCTGCTCACAAGAACATCCATTCTTCAGCCTCCATGATAACAACCTCAATAAAGATGTCAAAACAGCTTATATTTCAGTATTGACCCTCTTGAGTTCACACGGGTCAGGAGCAAATCCTGACATCCTATTAAAATGAGACAAAACACTCAGTAAGACATTAGCAGAGCTCCATCACGCCTCATAAATATTGACATTAGAATTTGAAAACAGTTATTGTGAACCAAAAGAGAGGAGATCAGCTGCTTGGTTTGATGGTGTGGACTAAACTGTGCTTAAATGTGCTGACATAACAACACTGACTTTAATAGCGCTCTTTAAGTTTTAAACAGAAATAAGGCTCCTTATTACTTTCCTTATTACTTGTTACTGCCTCTATTTCAAGAGTGTCTGTGTTTCAAATGGTTGAGCAGAAACAAGATTTGGTCAAAATTAAAATAAATAGACTATGGCTGCATGATTTGGGGAAAAAAAAAATCGAACTAAACTAAAAATTATGATTGTGATTTATAAAAAGCTCCAGGTTTGCTGTTTAGGGCTGTGTTAGTTTAGTATCATTGAGATACTATTATACTATTTTGTCAATATTTTGAATTTGATGTTATTTCTATATTTTCTGCTTTCATGTTAATTTTAGTTCAAGTTTTAGTAATTTAGTTTTGTTTTTATCATTTTTAGTTTTTGTTGTTTTTAAATATGTCTATATAGTTTTATCAATTTTTATTTATTTATATATATATTTTTAAGTTAACTATAATAATCCTGGTTTAGGTCTGCAAAATGTGGACCAAAATGTTGTGATTATATTTTAATATGATAATAATAATAATAATAATAATAATAATAATAATATCAATGTATTATTATTACTCAAAAATATTAAAATAAAAATATTACTATTGTAATATTTCATTGTAAAATAAAAATGAGTTTTTAAGGAAAAATAATGATAATAATATAATATAAATTAAAAATGAATTTACAATACATAATAATAATTTAATTTTATAATGATTGTGTGTAAAAGAACATGCAAAATGTTATATTTTGATTTTAGTTCTATTTTTATTTAATCATGAAACCTTAATATAGTATCACTACTATTGCTTAGATTCAGGGTTAATGATTTAGACAAGCCCTTAACCCTAAGTATATAGATGTTTTTGCTACGGGCTTGAACCATCCAGAACATTCCAGCATAACAACGTGCTGACAAGCACTCAGAGCAACTTAGCCACCGTAACGCAACGCACTGGCAACCACCCACAACATCCCAGCATTGTAGCTAGGATGCACCACTCACATTTTCTTTAGAAAAAGTCAAATCTCTCTCTTGTTCTCTTGTACAAACGCACACTGCACGCTGCAGTATGAGGCCAGAATGTCAGTGTCGAGATGTTTGTATAACGCTCTGTCAATCCTGAGTTAACACTTCATCTGCGAATCTACATCTACAGTCCTGAACAAAGGAGCGCGCGTGCATCTCGATTCTGTGTGTGTGTGTGTGTGTGTGTGTGTGTGTTTTACGCTTTGGTTCAGTTGGGAGTCCCAGAAGTTCAGGCAAGACATTGCAGGTCACGCACTAAAGCCCAAGACTCTTACCTGCATAAAATACTGATTTCTATCCGGCATTCTAGTCCTGCTGCATTGGAGTCTGATCTCGTGCTTTTTGTCAATCTTCTAATATGTATATGAGAGAGAGAGATGAACAGAGTCAGGCCACAGTGGGGTGTGTTTGTGAAAGGTATACCTTCATGAAGGTCTGCCAAGCAGGCCACACACACACACACACAGCCAAACTTTCCACATTAATCATCAGCTTTCACTCTCTGCATTTAAGCAAAGTTGAATTAAGTTGATTGTAGAAATACTTATTTTAGTCCAGCTAACAAATACATAAACCCGTAAACATATCCTTAAAATCACTCTATCTATCAGTATATTTGTCTATCTCTCTCTCTTTCTCTTTCCGTCACAATCATGCATATGTCCTCAGCAACCACCCAGCAAACACTTCCACCTTCTAGCTACTGTATGTGTAACCTTCAAACTGCAGACATCTCTTCAAACTGCTCAAGCACTCAAACTAAACACGACTGGAATTCAGTACATCAAATTAAAGGACACTTGCAAGGCTGTTTTCTTAACTTTAAGACAAGTGTTTGTCTTGTTTCCACAAACTCCTTTTCTAGCTGGACTTTAAATATACTGACACAGTCTAAAAACAGGCCTGCTCTCATACATGATGAGAATGTTTATTGTGAATGTTTGGACCAGAATTAACACAACGGCATGACTAAAGTGCCATTTCCTACTAAACTCATGAATCTATGAATTAGCCTGGCGTGTTTTTTTTTGTGGGCGTGTGAATGACGTCAAGTGTACGGCCTGAATCAGGCGACGTCTGGCTGAACGGTGCATGCGTAAATGACTTCTGAAGCTTCTTACACTCAACTCACGCCAATGCAGGGGAGGATTTTCTTCTTTTCTTTCTCTTTTTAATGGTTCCAAACTCTTAAAGGCACAGTTGATCCAAAAAACCTGTCATCATTTACTCACCCTGATGCCGTTCCAGAAGCACATGGCGTTTTTCCTCCTGTGGAGCACAAAAGGGGATGCAGAATGTCAAAGCTGTGGCTTCCCAAAATGTTCAATAAACATTGCTTTATTAGATACATATCCACTCAATTCAACCATCAGCATACTGCTCGTCATCATTGACTCAGTTTCTCGTTTTCAGGTCACAAGCAGTTCATGACCTATAAGTACGTCACGGGTTAGGAAGTTTCATAAGCCCTTGCCTGACTTCACTGATTACAATCCCTAATCTATGGTTTATTAAGACATGATATGTCAACATTGTGACAGGTGCCAGTGGATTACGCACTTCCTCTGATTCATCCAGCAGACGCGCCAAACAGACGGTCAACCTGAGCAAAGTTTGGCAGACTGTGACGTCATTACAGAGATGGGATAAGGGAGTTTCCTTTTTCCCGTTTAATTGAAGATGGATAATCCTGTTTCAGGTCAGACCATTCAGATGGGGATTAATTGGAATCATTTATAAATCACATGGCTTTTAATGTTCAGTAAACATTTTTATAAATAGCTTTCTAGGTGTAACAGAGAGGCAGGGTTTGTGTCAAGAGGGGGAAAGTCAAGTCAGCTCTGAGAGAGCAAGAGCAAAAGAGAGAGAGAGAGAGAGAGAGATGCGGAAATCTTTCCGTTGAGACACAGCAAGGACAAACTATCGATCTGATCCACACTCCTGTCAACACAGACCATCCAGAGCACAGAATCACGCCAACTCTCTCTCTCTCTCTGTTCTGCTCTCTTTAACATCACACATACTTTATAAATTCACATAAAAAACTAAAAGAATTCTACTGTATATCAATTTCCATAAAGAATTCTGCTCTGAGAAATACAAGGGTGACTCTCACAAAACCTGTCAAAGAACATGTCCAGGTCAAATTTCTCCTAAAAAATCAAAAGTAAGAATATAGAATTATAGTTTGCATAAAAAAAATAGCTTATTTTAGGATCATTAAGAATGTTTACATTACGTTCATGACTATTAAGTACTTCCCTGACACACTTATACTTAATGCAAACAAGCAAAATAATAATTATTATTATTATAGTTAAGTATTTATATTTTTATGCCAATTTAATAAAAATTATTTTTAATATTTTATTTATACTTTATGACAATTTGATAAAATAAAAATAAATCTTTATAATGACAATCAACATTGAGAATAATGGGAATTATGATCAAAACAAACATCCAGGTGCATAAATGAGAATCTTTATGCAATTTTGGACTGAATGTCATGGAAATAAATAAATAAAACAAACTATTTTACCATCACAATTCATCTGTGGGTTTGACTCAGGCTGGCCCGGCTGATGTGTCTTCCATGAAGATTGAAAATGAGCCGTCCAATTCTCCTTTAATCATTAAATTAAGTCTTTGCATTAATGCTCGTTTACTAGAGAACTGATGTAAATCAGTCAACCTGTTGGCCCTAATGGAAATTCTGTCATACTATATTTGCATATTAGAACACACAGTGGCCCTGAAAAGTAATTGGACACTTAAGACACATTGGGGCACAATAACAAACAAGTGTCTGTATGTGTATGTCTCAAATGCTGCAGGAACTTTAACATCTTCATTATTTTTGCTCAATGTCTTGCAATCAGCTGTTATTTTGGTGGTTTTTAGTCAGTTCACACAGGTAGAAAAACCACAGGTGTAGTAATTAACTAACAAACAAACCCAACATGTCAGGTTTTTCTATGCAACATAAGACTTACTGTTTATCATTTAAAACGCAAAAACTGTTTAATGTTTCTTGAAAATTGTACACATGCTATATATAAAAAAAAGAAAAAAAAAACACTTATTTTTAATCGAATGCAATGACATTATGCGTGTTTTCTAAGTATAATTTTTGGGGAACCGTACTAAAATGTAAATTTAAACTCTCAAAGTGATCAATACGGGTATTTTATTTTATTTTATTTTATTTTTTATTTTTTTGGCAACACATTAGACATGAAGAAACATTTGGCTATAAAATGGATCTTATGTTTCTTTGGAGATTTTTTTTTTAAGTTATTGCTGTAACCTACCAACCCGGAGCACTGACAGTAAATATTGTACTGAGAGTTGCTCTATCAGCATTTCTGAATGAGAGTCCGAGGAAACTGAGAGAATCCATTCAATAAAAGAGGAAAAAGGCGAACCAGAGGTTTCCCCGAGCAGGGAGGTCTGGAGTGCGTAAAAATGCGGATTCCCTGGTGCCTCAAGAGTGGGACGGTCCAGTTTCAGCCCCTTCGAGAAGCCGGCAGAACAGCCGGGCCAGCCTGACTCAAACCCGCAGATAGTGATTGAGAGTGATGCTTAAATGGATTAGAGAGAGAGGGAGGGAGAGGGAGAGAGAGGGGAGGGAGATTTGCCATGAAGCTTTCTGCCCTTGAGCACACAGGGCAAATCTGATCCAGTAAAGTAGACAGCGCGCGCACCACAAGTCCATATTCTCACTTTCGGATACTTCACTAGTACTCACGCACCCTCCTCCGGTAATTCAGCATCTCCTGCAGAAGTAGGGCACCATCCTCCCCTGACAAACCGACGGAGCGTGCATTAAAAAACTCTCCGGCAGAGAGAGATAAAGATAAAAAACAAACACGGAAGAACCGCATCCTCGCTGCGGGAGGCGATGCCGTTTCCACACGGACGCAAGTCGAGCGCTCGGTGAGTCCATCTCAACTACTTCAGCGACCCGGATGAACGCACGCAGCTCCCGTTTCCGAAACGAGCCTGTCAAAGCGGCTCACTTTTGATTTATGTTTGAAATGCCAAAAAGTTGCTTTTGCTCGAGTTTGCACGTAAAACCAGCCCTCTTGCTGGTTCATCTCTTCCGCAGTTCTTCATCTTTAGTGTCGGGACGCGCGCGCGGCACACCCCGTGCGTCTCCGTCCGCTCTGCAGAGGGAAGACCGATTGCAAACTGTTTTCTGATGCTAAACTACCAGAGTTATCAACTTTAGTCACGTTTTGTGTCACATTACGGATGTTGCATTGGCTGCAGGGTGTGCATGAGGAATATCGATGCTTGTTTTGAGTTTTATTACAGTATCTACAGTATGGAGGAGTAGCCTGTTCTGTCTGCGAGTGGAACTTGTACGGTTTTTACGTGAGGCAATACGAAAATGTACTATATAACAGTTTTTATTACTTTTCTATGCCTGTCAAATAATCGGGTTGTGGTTAATGAAGGATTTGGTCGTTATGTAGACTACTATGTGTTTGTTAAATTTGAAGTAAAAACTGGTAGTTGTATTTGCCACGGTGACGATATTACAATCATTACGGTAAGACTGAATATTAAAGTTGACAAATGCATATCATTAAATCATATAATATACATTTACCAACCTACAGTATATAAAACTGTTAAATGACTTAAAAGTTCGCCACAACTGGCCTCCCAAAGCCCATGCACAGAATACATCTAAAAAACAACAACTACTCAACATTAAATGTACTTAAAGGATAACTTTTTAAATAAAACCTAATGTGATTCTTTGTGCATTCTTAAAAAAATTCCCCATAATTGAAATGCCAGTTCATACATTTTATTTGTAGAACGTTTAAATATTTTACCATTAGAGCGCATGCAATTCAATCTAAAAATATATTTTGTTTACAGTAAAATTACATGCAAATATATTTTCCACTTGATCTGAAAAAAGTGTCTTAATGCAATCAAGTTGATTCAGTCATATGAAATATTTTTGACTTGAATAGATCCTACCATGTGAAGCACATAGTTACTTTACCTGATTTTTACATGCATGCATTGCATTTGCAATCTTAGAAATGGATGTCATCGCTATGCGTGTATTTGCACGTGAGACCATTCCTCACTCCTCCCATTTCCCAATGGAAATGAAATGTGGTTCAATCAGGAAACTATACCGTGCAACATTTAACATACGATATCAGTGTGCAATATCTGTATGATATATATATATATATATATATATATATATATATCGCACATTCCTTTCGCTACTCTTCCTCAAAGTCCTGCCTTATATAATGTCTGTCTGTGAAGTGTGTATGTATGTATGTGTGTGTGTGTGTGTGCATGTACCACGCATGTTCCTCACTCCAGACTCGTGTTGTATGTGATATGAGCCATCTGTCCAGACTGGTGGTGGTTCACGGGATGACATCCAACGTCTGTTTAGGGGGGGGTTGGCAAATTAGACCATCAGCAGAAAGCAGCGCTAGAAAAAAACAGGCTGACATCAAGTGCATGTGTACAAAAGAGCAGTGACGTTAAACACTAAAATGTGTGGTGTTTGCTTTCAGGACCATGGACAGCAGCTGCTGAGTGAAGGATGCGACCAGGCAGATATTTCTGAGCTTGGAAAAGGGGAAACCCACTTCATGTGACCTTCGGGACATAAATATGCTCTGCGGAGACGCAGTCCAGGAGCTGCTATGGATGTAGGTCCAAGTAAAAGCATCAGCACTTTTGACCCAACATATCAGGACAGTATCCAAACACACAGAAGTAAGACCGAAGTCAATACACAAAAAAATAAACTTGCTTTACAAAAATTCCCCTCAAACTTATAACAACAAAACATTTATGCACATTTTTCTATATATCTGACTTTTTCCTTTTGGAGTAAACGAAAGCATGATCGTGGCGAAGTTATGGGATGTTTTAACCTGACCACAGGCGCTGCTGTTCCATGTTAACACGTCGCACCTCTGAACCCACGGTGGTCCCTTTCCCGTTTCTCTGGACCCTCGTAAATCCCCTCTCGGTCGCGCGCCTGCCATGCGTGCACACACGGGACTCCTCTACCTGCTGGTGCACGTGCTGGCGAGAGCAAGAGGCCAGTACGACCTGTGCAAGTCTCTCGTGAGCACGGACGAAGGTTCCGTGTGGGAGCATTATGCGTGCCAACCCAAAGCCCAGGCCATGAAGGAGTACATGCGCATCCGCGTCGAGCCGCCGGGCATCACCTGCGGGAACCCACCGGAGAGATTCTGCACCCTGGTGAGTACTCTTTAAGAAGTTACTACTTTTATTGATCAAGGAAGCATTAAGTTGATCGAAAGTGACAGTAAAGACATTTATAGTGTTAAAAAAGATGTCTCTTTCAAATTTTCACAGAAAATATGAAGCAGCACAACTGTTTTCAAAATTGATAATAATCAGAAATGTTTCTTGAGCAGCAAATCAGCATCTTAGAATGATTTCTGAAGATCATGTGACACTGAGGACTGGAGTAATGATGCTGAAAATTCAGCTTTGATCACAGGAATAAATTACATTTTAACGTATAGTTACATAGAAAACAGATATTTTCAGTTGTAATAATATTTCTCAATATTACTGTTTTACTGAATTTTTGATCAAATAAATGCAGCCTTGGTGAGCAGAAGAAACTTCAGTCAAAAACTTTTTAAAAAACATCACCAACTCAAACATATGAACGGTTGTGCAGGTGTTCTGAGAAATCGAGCCACAGGCTCTAAAATATATTAAAGTGTTAAAATAAATACTAACCCCAAAAACATATCAAATACCAACTTTGAAAATCCACCAGAAATAGTACACCATCCGGAAAACTTTGGCCTGCTTTTGTCCACATGCTACTGTAAGATCAGGGGGCATATTAATTCCAATCTTGCATACTATTCGGGACAGACAGTATGTGAAATGGGGAAGTAGAGTGTGATATAAATACACACCATGCTAATTCCTGTTTCTCACAACCAGAAGTTCAAAGATTATGTGTCACATGGCCAGCAGGCTTGACACCGATATGTTTCTTCTTGCATGCTTTTTTCTGCTCATTAGCCTGACAAATACAATTAAGTGAAGGAATAGTTCACCAAAAATCAAGCAGCGCATCAGTTCAGACAGGCCACATCAGTCAAGCTCGCATCAGCTGATAGTCAGCTGTTCTTGATGTGTACCAATCCAGTTTTAACACTTATCACAGCGGTCCATTTAAATTCCCATTCTCCAGCATCTCTTCTATAGCATCGCTGCTCGCAAATCAAACTCGCTTCTCCATCCCCAACTCCACCTAACTGAACCTGTAATCTAATCTGACTTTTTTTCCCGTATACAGTTCACTATATTGCAAGCATTCTCTATCATGTATTTTGTATTTTATACAACTCATATAAATTGTGAATTGTAATTATGTATGCATATACTGGATCTTTTCTGTACCCCAGGGGGGTTTGACTTGCTGCTCTCCCCGCTCTGTCCAAGCATGGCTGCATGGACAGGCGTGGGGAGTTTTGCCCAGAACAGAACCATACCGCCAACACTAACTGTATGCTATATAATTATAATAACTATACTTTGACGAAGTGGTCCTGACTAAAATGAATATTTGCTGACAGTTTACTCATCCACAGGCCATCCAAGATGTAGATGTGTTTGTTTGTTCATGGGAAGAGATTTGGAAAATGTAGCATTGCATTTGTTGCTCATCAATGGATCCTCTGCAGTGAATGGGTGCCGTCAGAATGAGAGTCCAAACAGCTGATAAAAACATCACAATAATCCACAAGTAATCCACACCACTCCAGTCCATCAGTTAACATCTTGTGAAGCCAAAAGCTGCGTGTTTATAAGAAACAAATTCATCATTAAGACGTTTTTAACTTCAAACCATTGCTTCACCCAGTGAACTATTCTTTTATGATTACTGCTTAACAGTTGCACTCGTTCATCTGATTAACTGATGCATTGAGTTTGCATCTTCTGGTTGGTCTTAAAGCTTTTTTTTAGAAAATAAAACAAAAAATATATAATGATTATTGCACAAAAGTGGGCTTGACTAACTAATTATACTAACTTTATAGAATTTACAAAGTGTCAATTAGTACCTGGATGGGATGGACCTCAGGCAGATGTTTCCGGACTGTTCCCTGATTCATTTTTTGACCACCAGCCATTGGCCAGTGCAAACTAAGCAGGGCCCACAGAACGGTGCCAAACTGCACCCATCATGGGGGCGGAGGTCTCGAAGCAGCATTAATTTGAGCAGGATCTGCCGTGCAGGTCACCGACTGCAGCAGAAAAAATGCAGCTGAGGTCAGCAGGCGTGGAGAGCAGAAGGCAGAGGTGTTGTTTACCCACGTGGGTTTGTTGGCAGAGTCAGGCTCACAGGAACAGAGGATTGGGAGGATGTCGAATTTCACTTCGCTTATAGCAGGGTCAGCAGGTTATTCTCAAGGGCAAGGAGGTCACACGGTGCACTATGGGTTTTATAAAGTGATATCGGGGTGGACAACAAACAGAATCAAAATATATTCCATCAGTCAATGAGTTCTGATAGTAAAATAAAATTTGATTGGTGTTTGCCCGTGCAAAATTTGCGCAGCTGTAAATGTGACCACACCTCTGGGATGTTGTGGATGGTTGCTAAGGTGTTGCTATGCAGTTGCCGTGGTGTTCTGGGTGGTTGCTAGGTTGTTTTTTTCTGTCTGGTGCAGGGTTATTTACATTTATTCATTTTGCAGACGCTTTTATACAAAGCAACTGACAGTCGAGGAAAACAACAAGTGGTTATTATAGTTAACAAACTAAAACCATTAAAAAAAATCATTGCTTAAGAATGAATTAATTTTAACTGAAATAATTTTATTTCAGCATTTCTCACAATCATTTAGTTTAACTTGATGTAACAACTAAAAAAGAAATAATAAAGAATTAAATCTACAGATATATAGACATAAAAAATTACCAAAAAAATGACTAACATTGAAATAAAAACTGAAAATATAAAAGATTTACAAGTAAAATTGTATAAATTCAATTTATTCATTTACGTATTTTTTAAATTATTTATTTGTCAAATTAATTTAATGGAAAATAAATAAATAATTTAAAACAGAATCTTAAAGGGGTCATATGATGCTGCTAAAAAGAACATTATTTTGTGTATTTGGTGTAATGAAATGTGTTTATGCGGTTTAAGGTTCAAAAAACACATTATTTTCCACATACTGTACATTATTGTTTCTCCTCTATGCCCCGCCTTTTTGAAACGCGTCGATTTTTACAAAGCTCATCGGTCTGAAAAGCGAGGTGTGCTCTGATTGGCCAGCTATCCAGTGCGTTGTGATTTGCTGAATACCTCAAGCGTGTGACGGAAATGTTACGCCCCTACCATACTGTGATGCCCTGTCCGGCCGGAGCGATGATTCAAAAACATGAAAATCCATTATAAACGAGGCATTCGTTGCATCCAGTGGGGACATAATTATGGATTATAATGACTGAAAGGAACAATTGAAATCGCATCATATGACCCCTTTAATGATACTAAAATAATAGATACGTATAGATATAGATATGACTAGGGGCCCATCCTTCAATGTAAGTCTGTGACATTTTTTTCACCTGTTTAATGCTTTAGCTTAAGAGCAACAGTAACAGTGATGCTTGACATTGCAGAAGAAAAAAAGAAGCAAAAGGTTGTGCAGGCTGAAGAGAACAAGAGCATAAATAAATACTAGCGTCAGGGGAAAAGAGGTAATACAACCCTGATTAAATTATCCAGACACTGCAATGTCGTGCACAAACAAACAAACTTTGTTCACTATGATTGTGCCTTTTCACAATGAAGCTGATAAGTCTCTGCCGGAAAATACACATACACAGTACAGTTATTGGTCTCGCATGAGAGCCGGAAATGGACACAGCTCTCACATACTTAACAGTTAATGATCTGTTTAATGTAAGGCTAAAGGAGACCCATTTTCCCATACTCGCTCTCACTCTCACAACTTAAAGGGATAGTTCACCCAAAAATCACAATTCTGTCATGATTTACTTAGACAAGACTTGGAATATGGTGTTAAGATTACTGTATGTGTATGACTACTTCTTTACCTTATTTTTAAAAGCTTGGTAGCATTTGTCCCCATTTACTTTCATTGCATGGAAAAGAACAGTGTGAACATTCTGCAAAACATTTCCCTATGTGTTTTATGATAAGTAAATGATGACAGAATAATCATTTCTGGGTGAACTTTCCCTTTCAATCATGATTGCGTAAATGAGTGTGTTAGCTTTTCCAGATCTGGTTTAAGTAAGAATCAGAGTATCTTTTCAGAGTATCTTTGCATTCCACAATATAATTCTGTCATCATTTAATCACCATAAAACACAAAAGCAGATGTTTTGCAGAATCTTCACACTGTTCTTTTCCATGCAGTGAAAGTAAATGGGGACAAATGCTGCCAAGCTTTAAAATAAAATCTGCAAAAAGCACCATAAAAGTATAATAAAAGTAGTCATAGATACAATTTAAGCATCATATTCCAAGAAATGTGAGTTTGGAGCAGCATGAGCGCGAGTAAATAATGACAAAATTGTGATTTTTGGGTGAACTATCCCTTTAAATATTGTTTGTGCAAATGTGGGTATGCATTAGCTTTTCCAGTTCTACTTTACGTAAGAATCAGAATTTTTAGAGTAACTTTGCATGCCATAATATTCAATCAAATCCATCTAGGGGAGCAGTTCACCTAGAAATCACAATTTGTCCTCATTCTCTCACCCTCAAATTGTATGTATCACTACTTTTATGGTGCTTTTTAGTCATTTTTTAAAAAGCTTGACATGCAGTGTTTCTCACTATTTACTTTCAATGCTTGAAAAATAACAGTGTGAACATTCTGCAAAACATCTGCTTTTGTGGTTTATGGCAAGCAAATCATTACAAAATTGTCTTTTTTTGTTGTTGAACTCTCCCTTTAAACCCCACATTTGGATTTGTTTGAATATTGTGGCATGCAAAGCTACTTTTAAATACTGATTCTTATTTAAAACAGAACTGGAAAAGCTAACACAAGCCCATATACACACACAAACCCTTGAATTGCTGTGCCGGAGTCGGCCGCTAATGGACTGCCCTCTGGAATGTTCCTCGGGTCGTCCCGAGCTCTTTAATATTGATGGGGCCCCTAATGGTCCCGCAAGCAGACATCCACAGCGCACCCTTTTACATTCTAGACATGACGAGG